AGGGGCCGGGGGAGCGGGCGGCTGCGGCGTTGGGCTGAGCCGAACCGGGCTGTGCTGAGCCGAGCCGAGGCTGTCGCTGACCGCGGCGCTTCTCCTTCACCCCGCCTCCCTGCAGCGCAGCCGCTCGCAGAGTATCGTGCCCTGCACCGTGTCACAGCTGCTGGCGGCCGAGCAGGTGGATGAGGCGTTCCGCATCCACGATGTGGAGATCTCACAGGTGAGCACCCGCTGCCATCCCTACTGGGGCGGCTCTGAGGGGCTGCGGGTGCTTCTCCCCGCCCCTTGACGGCCCTTCCTGCTGCAGGTCACCGTGGTTGGCATCGTAAGGCACGCAGAGAAGGCGCCCACCAACATCCTGTACAAGGTGGACGACATGACAGCAGCGCCCATGGATGTGCGGCAGTGGGTTGACACCGACGTAAGCAATCAAACCATTCTGAGGTGCTGCTATGGGGGAGAGGCTCTGCGAGATGTAAAACAGTCAGTCTGAGAGCTGGGCAGTGCTGTGCCTATGAGAGCCAGGCTGGATGCTGCAGTAGCAAAGATCAGTGGTTCTGTGCTTTTGTGATCTTCTACTCTGTAGTTCATACATCAAATAACATAAATAATTTCTTACAGTTTAGCTGCCTAATCTCAGTTGTTACTCAGAGGTGTGCACTCTGTTCTTTTGTGTGAGAAATGTAAAACCAGAGAGTGGAAGAGGTTTGTGTGTTGTCTTGTTGCCTGGTGCCTGGCTCCTGTGGTGCTGCTGGTCTCCACTGTGCTCCCTGTTGACAGAGCCGCTGCTTAAACACAGCCTGTGTTGCTGGTAAATGTGTCTGGAGGTGAACAGCTGCATTCAGCTGAACTACTCTAGGAGTAATTAAAGAGATTCTCAGTTGGCTTATCTACAGGTTTGCCATAAGATTCTGTGAATGCTTGAACCCCCCCAGCTGTGTTCACTGTTTGAATGCTTGACGTGGTGTGGTTTGTTTTTAAAATGCTTTGGGTTCTTTCCTCTCCTTCTGTGAGAATCCCTCATCAGTGAACAGAGCAGCAGCAGAACATACAACTGGCATTGACTGCTGTCAATTTGACTATCAATACAGTGCATTCAAATAAACATCTTTCATCTGTCGTTACATTTACCTAGCTGCTCTTACTGATTGTCTGAACGTGTGTCGTTTGTGTTTGCTTGAGATTAGAGTCCTTAAATTGGTCATTGTGGTAATTGAGAAGTGGAGGGATGAATCAGCAAAACCTCACTTTCTCCTTTCTTTCTCTGTAAGGAGGCAGGTAGTGAGAATATCGTGGTACCCCCAGGAACTTATGTAAAAGTCGCTGGTCATCTTCGCTCCTTTCAGGTAAGATCATTTGTGACTCCTCAAGAAGTGAGGCTGGAGCAGTGGCACGAAGGGTTGGTGATCTGGCAAAGTGCTGTAAGAAAACCCATAGTGTATTGTATGGTAAGAGCTGCCTCGTAGCAGTCATCCATCATGCTGCATGTGGTAAAGCAAAGTGCAGTTACCAGCTGGATAGAAACAAGTTGCCCAGACACTGTCCTGCACGATTCCACAGAAAAGCTTTTGAGTTCAAAAACTTTGCTAATTAAAGGCAGACAAACTCCCCACCTGCTACTGCTCCTGTTCCAGCTGGAGCATTTAAGTTGTATGTCAAGCATATTGGCGTTGCTACCCTGTTAACTATATTTTTTTCTTTTCTCTGGAAGAATAAGAAAAGTTTGGTGGCATTTAAGATCATGCCTTTGGAAAACATGAACGAGTTCACCACGCACATACTTGAGACTGTCAATGCACATATGATCCTCAGAAAAAACCTGCTGGTATGTAGCTGGGGGTGTGGTTCCATCACAGCTGTTGCTGGTGTTACTGGTCATCTCCCAAGGAGATCTCTGGGTTCAGTGGGAAATTGTATTTAAGTTGTGGGTCTGCAAAGCCTGGAGTTTGAAGGGCTGCGGTGGGGGTGTGCTGTGAGTCTTGAATTCCTTCAAGAGACATTGTGTTGTAGCCAGTTCTACTTGATTTCTCTTGGAAATCTGTCTTTAATTACTGTACCGGAGTAATTAGGCAGAGTCTTTCATGCCTTGGGTTTGCAGCAGCCTGTGCAGCCGCAGTTCTTTTACCCTTGCAATTGCAGTCAGCATCAAGAGCACCTCAGTCATTTACCTCTGCTGGAATGAGCGACGTGGGGAGCTACGGTGGAGGCAGCCTGCCTGTGAATGGACTCACAGCACATCAGAGTCAGGTGGGTGCCAGCATCCTCAAGCCAGGAGCACGGGTGTCCCAGTGGATGCTGCTGCAGTGTGAGTTGAGACAAAGAAATAAAAGCTTGGTTATTCTCAGAAGGCTGGTAATTCTTTTTTTTGGCCTCGCTGTTCAGTGTTGATAGAGCCTCGCTGTTGCTGATGCTGGTTGATATTCTTCCAGGTGCTGAACCTGATTAAAAACTGCCATTCTCCAGAAGGTATGAGTCTTCAAGAGCTGAAACTTCAGCTCCACAATGTCAGCATACCAACAATCAAGTAAGTGTGTAGAAATGAAGGATTTGCTTCCAGTCTACGCAGTCCTTTCTGGAATCTGCTGAAAGTAGACAAAGAGGAAAGAAGTGGGCAAGGCCAGATGCTGGCTTTTTTTTTTTTTTTAACAGTGTTTTGTGATTCAATGTGTCCCCACAGGATGCAATGGTCAACCTGAGTTCTTGAATTCTTTAGTGAAACAGCTTAGAATGAGTTTGTTGAAATGATAAAGCCTTGGAAACACTTTTATGTTTGTGTTGACAATGGAGCAGCACTTTAAAATGCTGATGGGATGCATCTCTGGGTGCATCTTTTGGCAGATGCCAGAAAGGAACAGTGGGGACATCAGGCTGTGGGTGGGAAATGGTTGAGAGAAGGGCATCAATGTGAAGTAGGTACTAATTGGTACTAATTGCCTTTTTTTCTTCAAAGGCAAGCAGTTGAATTCCTTAGCAGTGAGGGACACATCTACTCTACTGTGGATGATGATCACTATAAGTCCACGGATGCTGATTGAGGTTCTTTCCACCTGGATTTGCTTCTGTCCAAGTGCTTGTTGATGTCTCAAGTCAACCTGCTGGGCTTTGCAACCTGGAAGTGATCTTTGCTTTCTAACCAGCTATTCTGTGAGTCCCTGCACCTTGGAATTTAAGGACAAGCAGAACATTTGGAAGGGTTCTGGTGTCTGGGCTTGGTTAATATGCCACGACCACAGGATGGAAGTGTAAGCAGATATGGGAGAACCAAGCTTCTCAAAGCTTCTAATCCTGCAGTTTGTTTTTGCCTGTTAGAACAACTATGTTACGAAGAGCCCCTTTCACATCTTGTGTGCAGATTCTTTTGTTGTTTCTTCCTAATGCTTTCATTCCATTTCATTCACAAGAGGGGTAGCCAAGAGAAACGTTCTACTAATGTACAGTAATCATGACTAGATTTGTAATTAGTTTGTGCACTTAAATCTATATTTGTACTATGAAGTAGTCTTGTTACTATGGCTTTTGAAATTATTTTCAATAAAATTTAAACTAGGATCCTGAGCTTCTGTGGCTCTGCAGGTTTTTGTTCTTCCCTAAAGAGGAAAAGCATTTGTCACTGGAACTCAGACATGTGGGTACAAACACAGCCCCTGCTTTCCCAGGATTTGGTTGTCTGTGCTTATTATTTTCTGAAGCTTTTGAAGGGAATTGCTTTATGAACAAACATCTGGGTGTGAAAACATGAAAGAAGCTGCAAGTTGTAGCAGTGACCCATCTGGAGCCAGGATCATTGCTGCTAACAGGACAAAGGCGAAGTTAGGAAAGAGCATTATGGACATTGGTGGTGCAGCAGTGAGGAGGTAAAGAGTTCACATCTCTTTCTGTGTGTGGCACTGCTTTGCTCAGGTAGGAGCTCCTGCACCATATCTGTTCTCTTAATTTCCTGTAGCAGAAAATGCAGAACTGAAAGCTGCCTCCTGGGCGCCGTCCTGCATCGGTTGGTAGGAGTGGAGTGCAGCTCATAAATGTTCAGAACCACTTAATGACCCTGTGAGGAACACAGCAGTTCTCCCATAGTGAGAGTGCTTCCTGTGGGAAGCATGTTTAGCACTGCTAACAGGCAGGATTGCTCAAGCTGACTGCTGAAGGCATTTGCTGCCCGTCAGATGGGAGCTTTGTTTGCTGCTCTTTGAGAGCTGCTTTCTATTTTCTCCCTAGCACAGGATCTGCCAGAGAAGCTGGTGCTCCCTGCTCATCAGCTGTGTGAGTCTGGCTTTCTGCAGGAGCTGCAAACTGTGGGTTTCAGTGCAGATTTTTATCTTATCTGAGAGAGGTAAAGTAAGCTAGCTTTGGAAAAGTAGCTCTTTCCACAAAGCACCTTGTGAGACTGGCTTCCCTACCAAGTGCCTCCGTTTCTGTTAATAATGCTCTAATAAGCTCTGTGTATCCTGCTGGATTTTAGGCAGTGGCACAGCTGTAGCCCTTGGTACTTGTGGAGCTAAATTGTGGCATGGATGTGTAACAGGTCAGCTTCTATGCTGTGGGGTCTAGCAGACATAGAAGCCAACAGTAGTGCAGTTTTTCTTGTGGAAGGGGTGTAGATTGGGAAACAAATCCCTGATGATTTTTGGAGGTGCAGATGCATGGAATTGCTTGCAGTATAGAGAGGAGCTGTAGGACTCCAGAAATGTGATCTGACAAGAGAGGTATCATAGAATGAATCACAATGTCTTCAACTTGGGAAGGAGTTCAATTCTTTCAATTCTACCCTTTGCTGTTTAAAGCATTCAAGAGCATCTGACCATGCTGTGAAAGCACTGACAGTGAGTGTAAATCCCAGAGTAGAAACAGAGCAAGAAAGAAAGCAGGAAACCAGCCCATGTCCTAGTAAGGGCTTGAGATCATCTCTGCAGCCTTGTAAATCTGCCCTAGATTCCCAGATGAGGAACAACGCAACAAATCTGAACCCAAAGCTACACAAAGGGAGAGGAAAAAAGCTCAAACAGCAGTTTGCTAATAAATGAAGTTTAAAGTTTATTTTCCAGCTCTGATTTGTACCTGCTTCTAGTTTAAAGCAGCTGGGACTGGAAATTTCCCTGTATTGGTGCTCCTGGTGACTGGTGGTGCCTTCTCTGATAGGGATGGGATGTGTAGGGAAAGCCTTCAGTGGCCTCTGGTGGATTCCAACAAAGTGACCACAAGAAAGGAATTTGTCTTAGAACTTCTCAGTCTGAAACGCTGATGAGCACAGCACAGCCGTGGGCTCCAGCCACGCTATTCTACAAGCGTGTGAGTGATGTTAATGCAGAAGGAGCTGGGTGAGATAAATGTCCCCAAGCCTTGGCTGGCATCTCAGTGCCATGTTGGTGGTTGCTCAGCTCCCAGGATGGTTGCCCCACTGTATGCTGCTCTGGTGCAATTGGAGAGTCCCATAGGCAACATCTGAGGATGTGATCCACAGCATAACAGCCCCCCATAGCAGAGCAGGGAGGATTTATTCTGCACCTCTGGCTGTTCCTCAGGTGTGTGAGCTGCTTGCATTTGAGCAAAGTGGGCACATATTGAGGCAAATAGAGGCTGTGCTGTGGATCTGAGGATCCCTGAGGTTGTTTCAGCCTTTGTTTAATAGCATTAATTTAACATAAGGTTTAAGAATAGTTGGAGCCTGGACAGCTTCAGAAACCAGAGGATTAAAAAGGAAGAATAGCCTGCACTTTGCGAATCGTCTTCTGGATGCTGCCTTCAATGATTTCATAATCGTGTTCATCACTGCTTCTCTTCACATCTGGAGGAGAACAGCACGGACAGTGCGTGTAATTGGAGCTGGACTATGGCAGAAATCCTACAAGTGGGTGCCCCAGGCTGCTCCCCCCTCCTCCCTGGCTTGGTGATGTGCCCACAGGGGTGCTCACACCAGGACACAGCAATGGTCCCAGTGAGCTGCGGCCAAAGGCCTGGCAGGAAGAGGGATTCTTGCAGTGGGGTGGCAGCTGCTCTGCCCCAGCAGACACCAGTTTCCATTGCCATGGGTGCCTGCAGTCTGTGGGGCAGGAATGTTTCCCATCTGATGACAGATCAAGGTGAACTGTTTGTCTGCCACGTTCATCTCCTCGCGGGAGGAGGCCAGGCCTTGTTTCCCCTCACGCTGTGGTCCATGTCTGGGACAAGGCAATGGAGAAATCACCCTGGGGGTAACCTGGTGCCCGGTTGCAAGTCCCCCAGCAGTTCATCCCTGCCCCACATCCAACTGGGAACAGCTGCGGGTACATCAGTGCCCCCGGTGGAAAACATCCCCCACCCCCCACTGAGGTTTGCATCCCCTCACCTGTGTCTCCAGGAGCATCGTGGAGCTGTGGGGCCGCCGGCCTGTAGGGGCACGGGCTGTACTTGTTGGGGGTGCTCTGCTGGTCAAGGAGGCTTTTTGCCTTCAGGGGCGACAAAGGAGCCGGGTGGGCCTGGGGGCTGGCGGGGTGCTGAGGGGCCGGGGGGCAGCTTCCTCTGGGGTGTGCCTGGTTCTTCTGGCCCTGGGCACAGCCCATGTGTGGCTTTGCCTTCCCACCGGCCGCCTTTGGCTTGGGGGGCCGTGGGGGCGGTGGGGCCGAACCGCCCGGCAGCTGTGCCAGCAGTTGGTAGTAGAAGGCCTCGCTCAGCTCCTCCACGTGGGAGCGGTGTGCAGATGGGGTCTGGGTGCTGACGGGCTCCCCGGTGAGGATGAGGGAGAGGTCCAACCACTGGGGCGGGATCTCAAAGCCCTCATCCGGCTCCTCGCAGAAGCTGCCGAGCAGAAAGGGCTGGGAGATGCGGGCCTCCAAGCGCAGGGAGGAGAAGGAACCCAACACGTCCCGCTCCAGCGCCGGATCCGTGGCCACCACCCGCACATCGCACGGCAGCGTCAGCCGTTCCAGCAGCTCGGCCAGCCCGTACTTCTTGCTGTCGCACACCTCCTCCACGAAGCTGCCCCCCAGGTCCAGCGGCAGCAGGAGCTCCTCGCCCTCCTCATCCTCTCCGTCCTCCTCCTCGCTGCGGCGCCGGCACAAGAGCCTGGTGCTGCCGGCGTTCTGCAGCAGCTGCTGGGCCTCCAGCCGGTCGCCCACGCTGAGCGGAGGCACGTCGTCCCCGCGGCCCTCGCAGTCCTGCGTCACCACCACGTGCAGCCGCTGGCCTGGCTGCAGGCCGGCCGCCAGCTCCTGCACCCCGGCAAATTGCCGAGGCCGCCGGCGGAACCGGCCCTGGTAGGCACTGGAGAGGAGGAAGCGGCGGGTGCTGCTGCGGGCCGAGGCCAACACCCTCCAGGAGTGGGAGCAGCCGTGGATCTGCAGCCGCTGCCCCTTCTGCAGGCGGGAGGCCCAGGAGCTCTCAAAGATGGCGGCGCTTTGGGGCCCCTCCAGGATCTTGGCTTGGGCTGGCAGCACCTCCTCCATCCCCAGCAGCTCGCTGAGCAGCAGCGGCCGGGCGAAGTGCACGTCTTGAGACTCCTCCGTCACGTCTTCCACGTCCACCTCCAGCGTGGAGGGGATTTTCACCTGGTCCCTGTGCACTGCAGGAGCAGAGCCGCCCTGGTTTTGTGCTCGCTCCACGCCATAGAGAAGCCCTCCCCACAACCGCCCCCCCTGCAGCCTCACACGCTGCCTGTATCCCAGCACCAAACCTGACACCTCCACCCTCAGCACCCTTCCCAACTCTGCAACTGGACTCACAGTGCATGGTGGCCTGCACCTCGTACACAGGGCTCAGCAGCAAGGCATGTGGGCTGATGCTGGGGCACAGCAGGGGTTGTGTCTGCCCACCGCTCTGCCCCACAGCCTGGTGCAGGGTCAGGCCCTTCTGCCTGCTGCCTGGCCGGGAGGGTCCCTGTGGTGTAGGACATGGCGACGGAGATGAAGAGAGCTGGAAAAGACCTGCGGGATGGCAAAGCTGAGCCCCCTGTGGCCATAAAGGTCTCCTGGGGAGGAGGGTCCCATGGGGAGAAGTGGAGCTTGGGGGTAGTGGGCCAGATCAGAACAGCCCTGCTCACCCTTAAACGTCGGTGGCAGCTCTGTCTTCTGCCCCGTCTGCACGTTCTCACAGATAACTTTCTGCAGTGTGACGGCCGTGACTTTCAGCAGATCCCCGGTTGACAGGCAGCACTCGTTGCCAGAGATCTCATATACGGACCCTACGGGGTGAGGAGGGACCCGTCACAAACTTGGCAGCAACTGGATCTGCAGCCCGTGTGGCCCCTGCACCTCCTGTTTGTGAGCTGGGGGTGGAGGTGTGCCAGCTCCGCTGCTCCGCTGCCTCCCAGCAGAGCACGGGGATGCAGAGCTCTCACCCAGCAGCATGGGAACCCCAGGAGTGGTGCAGGAACCTGCCAGCACCAAAACTACCTCCAGCTGTAAGCTGGTCAGAAATGGGGTTATTTCTGCCCAGCTGACTTATTCTGGGCCCAGATGCTTTGGTTACCAGTGGGTAGAGATTGTTATTGGTCACACAAGACCTCACAATCTGTTGCTGCTGCGGAGATCTGGATGAGTGGAGCTGGGACAGGGCACCTTGAGGGCTGAATATGGTGGAGCTCAGCACAGCTGTGTGGGGTGGGCAGCCAGCATCACTTGGGCTGCACCCACGAGTGTTGACATGGTGAGAAGGCTCTCAGTTGTCTGAGAGAGGTGCTGGGCAAATCAGGAAGATTGGAAAAGCAAAGCTCCTGAAGAGGGAAGTCTTTGGGGAAGTTAAACATCCATCCCAACTGAGCAGCGTTATCCCACCACAACTGCTTTCTCTTTACAAGTCAGTGTGACATCAAGAAATGCTACAAATTCCACAAGTCCAGCTGGTAAATGCCACATTGCTGATAGCACAGCAGGCAAGAACCCAGAGTGCATTTCCAGCATTTTTGAGAGGCCCAGAAATCTAGCCAAAGCATTTGGTTATTTCTGACTCCATTTCACCCACAACATTGCTATCAGCTGAAGCAGCACCAGGACTTCACCTTTACCTAAGATGTCTCTGTGGCCACGGCCCAGGAGGAAGCAGAGAGCTCAGATCAGACTGTGAGGATGCTCTCTTGCTCCACTCCTTGCGCTGGGGCCAGGACCAATGCCATCCCACCTCTCTCCAGCCACCGAGCCACCAACCCTGCCAGAGCCACCACCCACAGGGGATTCACTGCCTGGGTGAGAGTTCAGATGGCCTCTGTCGCCCCACCGCCTTCCTGGCAGCACTGGGGCACTCAGCTGAATGGGTGCTGGCTGTAAAGGAGAAAGGTTTGCCTTAGGCACAAGCAGCTGGCAGCAGCACAAATATGTGTGCATCCCCCTGCACCTGCTGACAGGGAATCAGGCATCTTCAAGGCAGGAGGGGAGAGCCGAGGCTGCGGTGATATTGAGAGTGGATGTGGGGAGGTGGCAGAGCCTGGGAGGATGTGGGCACTCGGTACTCACCTTGGAAGTAGACACCAGAGCATATCCTGAGGATGCGGGGAAGGGTGGCGGGGTCCAGGGAGCAGATGTATTCCTGGAAGGAGAGGGGCTCCATGCCCGCACTGCTGGGTGCTGTGGGTCACTCTGTAGGGAGTGAATAATGTAGGAAACAGCTCTGCGCTCTGCTTTGACTTCTGCGTGCTTTTCACTTCTGCTTCTCACAGGAGTAGTTCCCTCTCTGGCCACAACCCCTCTCCTCCCGCAGCTCTCTGCTCTGTGCTGACATCCTCCTTACACCCACACTCTGGCATCCACCACAACCCGATGCTTCCCAGCCCTGCTCTGCCAGTGCTGGCAGTGGCTGAAGGCACGAGCCCCCAGCTTTGCTACGGTGTTTCCCTGGATGTGCTGATGCTCCAGCTTGTCCTGCCCAGGCTGTCCCCACTTCATGTGTCCCATACACAGCTCAGGCAGGCAGACAGTGCTGTGGGGCAGAGGTTGGGTCCGTACAGAGCACCTCTGAGCCAAAAAAAAAAGGCTGTGCCCAGACTGCCCTCAACCCACACAGGCACCTTTAGCCTGCTCACCTCCAGGCGTTCAGATCCCATTTGCCCCCAACACAAATGTCCCCTGCACTGTGCAAGGGATCCACTACACTGATGGTGCACCACACCACGTGTGGGTGCAGCAGCCTCAGCCATGGGCAAGGCCACACCAGAGCCACACGCCTCCACGATGGGCAGCAACATCCGGCTCATTCTCCCCTTGAGACAGACCCCATCCTTCACCAAAGCCTTTGAGTATTGGTCCCCAGGGCCACTGGCCCCACACACCGACCCCAGTATGCAGCTGAGATGGAAACAGCATTTTGGAGATCTGCAGCTCCAGATCTCCAGACCTGATCCAGATCTGCAGCTTTTTGTTACAGCTTTCCTCCAACTTGGCTGATGAATAAAACTGAAACTGCAAGCTAGGAACAGCAGGAAGATGGGCCTGAGTGTGGAAATAAAGCTTGAAGAGAAGTTTTTTGAAGAGATGATGGACAAAATCATGCCTCTCTCTGCTCCGATTCCAGCTACAGAAATCAGCTGCACTTGTGTTTTCTATTGGAACAGGAAGAAGCGATCCGATGGAAAGAGCGTGCTGCAGCACTGTGAGTCCTGTACATGGGCAACTTCAGTATGCCTTAAGTGTCACAGCAGTAGGGACATGCTGAGATCTTCCACTTGGAGCTGGGCTGCCCTTGGCACCAGAGCAGGTCGGCTGTGTCAAGACCAGGACAGCCTATGAAGGTGAAGACCTCCTGTCCTTCTGCATTCCTTCTCCCATACAAAATGCTTCCCTAATGCTCAGCCTTGCATATCCCAAGCTACAAATGTGGCCATTGGCCCATTCCAAAAATGCTCCTGTTGTGTTGCAAGCCCAGCCTCCCAGCCGCATCAGTCGCCCTTTGTTGGACCTTCTCTATATATTCCTCTTGAAGTCAGGGTTCAACACTGCATTCAGTGCAGCCAGGCAGCAGGAGCAGCCTCTCTTGATCAGCCAGCAGTGACCTGGTGTTAGAACAGCACTCAGTATGCTCTGTTCACAGAATCGTGCAATCACAGAATGGATTCAGTTGGAGGGGACCTCAAAGCCCACCCAGCCCTAACCCTGCTGTGGGCTGGGGCCCTGCACCAGGTTGGGATGCCCAGGCCTCTATCATTGGGCTTGGGCACCTCCAGGAATGGGGTGCTGCAGGCAGTGCCTCACAGCCCCTGGGTAAAGAAAGGCAGGTGGGACATCAGGAGCTTGCAAGTGAATCAGAGGCCAAAATGCCTCCAGGTAACAGGCGCAAAGCATCTGCAGAGCTTTGGTGAGAGCAGGTCATCACAGGATCGTATGGTTCTGTGTCAGACTTAGATAGAGTCAGAGATGGTTAGAGCCACTGAAGATGTTGATCATCCTCTGCAGACCTGTACTGTGCTGCCAGTCTGGGGAAAAATGGAAGGGAGGCTGGAAACAGAATTAGGTTAAAAGTCAGAAGGGAGAAAAATATGTTTAAATATATAAGGTCATACAGGAAAATATACAGTGGCCTAAAGGGAACAGTGATAATTAGAAAAGCCAGCAAAACCAATGCCATAGAGCTGCTTCAAAGCTCAGGAGCAGTGAACACGGTTGGAGAAGATACTGAAGGCTGTTCTTGCTCTTTGCTGAGGCTGCCATTCACACGTGAAAAACAATGAAGCAGAGTCAGCATAGAGGAAACCCAGCACTTGCATAGCTCTGCTCATGGGCACTTGTTGGGATGCTGTTGTAGGCTGCTGGTCCAGCTGCCCCTGATCCTCACGGCATTTGAGCAACACATGGCAACACGCTCCAGAGGGATGCTGGTGAGTGCGCCTGTCCCAGGATGTTTGGGACCCAGTGTCCCCATCTCTTTGGAAAGTTTAAGAAAATAGAAATGGTCATGGAGGTGTCCAGCCCTGGACGTGGAGACTGTAAGCACGGTGGAGGAAGTGGTTCCATGCTCAGCTCAAAACCACACCAGATCTTGCCTGAAAGAAGCCTCTGTGAGCCGGCCTGCAGGCTGCTGAGCTGCAGTGAGGAGCCAGGCCTGACTGCAATGGCAAATTGGAGTCAAGGAGGAAGGAGCTGGGCCAGGAGCATCTCTTGAGCTCTGTGTGGGGAGCGAGGAGAGGGCAAGACACATCCAGGCCAGCTGACGATAGGCCGTGGGGTAAGCGGCTCTGCTTTGGGGCAGCGACATCTGCTACGCTCTCCTGGCAGCTCAGCCTTCAGCCTGATTTCATCCAATGGGGCTCAGGAGAGGGGAAGAGGTTGGCACATGCAGTGGGCCCAGGAGGGCTGGGATGCCTGTAGGAAGCCACAGAGCAGCTGCAGGAGGAAAAAAACAGCTGTCAGGGCTTCATCAGTCCCAAAGCCCTGGGCTGAATAAACGAGTGGAATGAATGACCCAGTGTTTTCACTTCCTCCTGCCAGCACTGCCTGTAGGACAAGGCCAACGGCCCTGGGAACCACTGGTTCCATGCACACCGAAACTGCCTCATTCCCATCTGTGCTCAGCCCTCACTTCCCTATGAAGGACGTGACACCACCAAGGCTCTGAGGCACACAGCCCTCACTGGGTGTCCCCTCTGATCTCAGCACAGAGGGGTCCTGCCCAGCAGCACCTTGCTGTGCAGACAGGAGGGCAGCTATGGAGCCACAGGACATGGAGGTGGGAGCTCCTCACCAGCAGATCCCACTGTGCCAGTATGGGGAACAGCACAGTGTGGGCAACCAGGGCTCACGTTTTAGTTTTTATCCCCCTGAAGCTCCAAAGGTGCAAATGAGCAGTGGGCAAAGCAGAGGACTTGCATCAGAGGAAGTTGCCACAATCCTCCGGGCTCAGATTGCTGACAGGAAGGTGAATGCAATTGCTCTTTTCCTCCAGAGGAAAAAAGCACCTTTTGTTATCATCACTGACATATGGAGGAAAAAAGATGCTGGAAATGGTTTATATAAATTCAAAGGCTGAACTGGGTTTGTGTTTGTCTCGACTTGGATTTTGGTCAGCAAGAAGCAGCTGACACCAGCGCCAACAACACCAACACCAACAACCATGAGTTGTCTTCTGCATGTGGAGCAGCCAAAAGAAAATGGTCAAAAGAGAAAGGTGTGGAGCCTATCATCAGATAGAAGGGCCCAGTGATATCAGCCAAGGAATTGCTGTTGGCTAACAATGCCAGCAGTCAGAGCGCTTCCATCAGTCCCACACAGCTGCAAAAGACAGGGTGGACAGGAGCCCTTTTATAAGAAATGGTGAAGGAAGTTCCATCTGAACACGGTGTTGCTGTGCCTATGAGGAGCACTGCAGCAGGCTGCCCAGACAGGTCCCAAAGCTGTATGGATGCTGCCCTGGGCTACGTGCTCTATCAGAACCTTGCTTCATTTCCAACAGTCCCTTCTGACTCCAACCATTCCGTAAAGTTGTTTTTGTTTTTTGGGTTGCTTTTTCGTGGGATTGGCTTTCCCCCAACCCCAACCAACCATAAACACCACATAACCTAAGAGGAAGCGGTGAGCAGACGGCGTTTCTCATAAATCATGTGGAACTTCTGAGCCCCTACGCTGGGACTGAGCACAGCAAGCGAAAGGAAACACACACTTGTATGTGGCAAGGTCCTGACAGGGCTGTGGGGTCAGCAGAGGTGCCCTCTGCTTGCTACAAGCACCGCAGTGAAGTTGAAATGAATGGGACCCTGGATTCATTATATATAATTAAAAAAAATAATAATGAAAATAGAAGAAACTGGGGCAGAAGGGGTTTTGGAGGTTTAAACTAATCTGAGAAACTGAACTGGAGAGATCCCAAGGCTTTTCTCCTAAATAATATTTTGGGAGGTCAACATCTTCATCATGTTGCTTTGTACGTTAAGGGTCAGTGGGTCCGAAGACAATTCAGTTTGGATTCAGGAAGTTGCAGCACCTCACCAGTATCTCCACTTGCCTACCAATACCAGAATGGAGCAAAGAGCCAATTCTGGGTGGAATTTTAACCCCCAGCAGAACCACTGCATTCAAGTCCAGGCCAATAGTGAAATACTTCTGTATTGATCATATGGCTAACATAGCTCATGGAAGCAGGGAGTAGAAAACCAGTGGACAACAGTGGAATAAATGCGATTTTGAAGGAAATTGGAGGCTGGTCATTGACAGAATGGCTTGCTCACCTTTTGCAGGTTGTCCAACACTATTCTAACAGTGGTTAACAGTTAAGATTATTGGGATGTATGGAAGCTGCACTAATGCAGACGTGCTTTACCTGATGCTACCTAAAGGTTATGGAAGTCTCAGATAAGGGATTTGAAACTTCCAAAGGGGAAAAGTGAAGTCTCAAAATGACTTTCTGGTTCAGATATTCGCTCAAGGTTGAAGTTCTGCTTTAAATTCCAGATATCCCACTTCTCTGTAATAAACATACTGGGTGTTCCTCTTCCTGACTTCCATAAAGAACTGACAACCTTGAGAAAGTGGCACAAATCCAAGACAGAAAGCAACCAGAAGAGAGCAAGTGCCTTCCCCAAGCTGAGTCCATTTACCTCATGACACTTATTTGTGAGTGAACTCACTGTCCTGAACTCACAGGATTCTCTCCTGCTGAGGAGGAGTGAAGGAGGAGCTTGGTGGGCACCAACCAGTTGGCCAAGGTCTATCAGCTGCAGTGCTGCATGTAAAGGAGAGCAATATCCACAGCACAGCTCAACTGAAGCATTCATGGGCAGGAGGGTTGGAACCTGATGATCCTTGAGGTTCCTTCCAACCCAAGCCATCCTATGAGTCTGTGATTCAAGCTTGCTGTCTCCTGGCAGAGAAAAAGCTGCTCAAGACATATTCCTCTGTGTCATTTCCACTTCCACTGTACTCGCTGGTAGATGTCATGTGTAGCATCTCATAGAAGCATTCCCAGCCAGTCACTGCAGTGTCAAGAGATTTTTTTGGTGCTAGCAGAGATAAACAGGCTTGATAAGAGCCACCAGAACTTTGGCTCCATCTTCCCTGGTTAGGATGGGCTGTTTGTATGCAAAGTCTTGCATTTATCTTGAAAAAAATTCAGAGCATTCAATAAGTGGCTTCTCTGCTGCTTGCCCTGTGGTACTCAGCATCACATGGAAGTGACAGGGCGACAAAGAGGATCCTCAGGCCATCACCAGGGCATAGCAAGACCAGGTCAGAATAGAACAGTGAGCATAGGCACGAGTGCCCAGCAGCTCTGGCCCACAACAAAGCCAAGTGCAAAGTCTTGCAGCTGGGTACTCCAAGCCAGGGGACAAAAGGACTGAGCACAGCCCCACCAAAAGAACTTAGGGGTGCTGCTCAGCTAGGCATGAGCCAGCCATGTGCCCTCGCAGCACAGAAAGGCAACCACACCTCGGGCTGCATTTAAAATAAGGCCAGCAGGGCAAGGAAGGTGATCCTGCCCAGATGCTTTCCTGTGCAACCTGCTCTAGGGAACCTGTTTTTGGGGAAGGGGTTGGTCTGGGAACCTCCAGAGGTCCCTTCCAGGCCCTATGATTCTGTGAGTCTGTGAACTTCTCTCTGCCATCCCTCAGATGGACTGGTACCTCACTGAGCCCTTGGCAAACCTCTCAGCTGTGCCACATCCTAAACAACACTTTGAGATCTTCGTTGAACCAAAAGGCCATATCCATGCTCACAGTCAGGCCCTGCAGGCTCAGGACACCCTCCACCCCTGCACGTAGGGCTGCCAGCTGCTTTCTGTGTCCCTGCAGTAATTCACAGAGACAAAATGTCATTCTGTTGTGTCCTTTCTGCTCAGGTGACAGTTGGTGGATAGAGCTCTTTGGAAAACAGTCCTGGTTTTCTCATCTGCAGAGCACCATTCAAGCCACATCAGGTACTACCAGTTATTTTCAGCCAACCTGGGCTTGTGGATCTCATTTTCTTCCTTTGCCCATCTCAGCCATTACGTTGGCTTCCAACAGCATTTGCAGGCATTTAGGTACCAGCACTCTCCATTGTGCCAGGGCTCCTGCCCTCAGGATTTCTTCTCCTTTTATCTTCATGTGGCTTGGCTGGAAGAAAGCAAAGTGAAGCAGACACAGAGGCAGTGGCAGTCACAGGGGCACATGATGTCTGTGCTGTAAGAAGACAGGAGCAAGGCTTGAACTGTTCAGCTTTAGGCAATGGGAGGAAGTCACACCTTGTCATAAACACCTCCAGGAAGCACAGCTGTCCACCTGCTCCTCTGGTGTCCACTCTAACTGGGGAAACATAAAAATTGCCTGAAGAATTACCTTTCAGGGTAGACACACAACTGATTTTAGGCACAACAGATTTTAGGCACTCCTTGAGTCATCATGACCTGCTTGTCGTTCAAAGTCCTAAGCTTTGACTACCGATGTTGTAGCTGATGTTACAACAAGCAAGAGGCCAGAGCTCCTCAGACAAGAAGCAGGAATCAACAAGCAGGGTCCCAGCCAGACCAGCCCAGGTGAAAGGTGAAGTCAGCTGCTAGGATCCAAGCAACAGTGGGCTCAGCACGAAGCACCCTCACAGCTGATAACGCTTCTGACCTGTTAACAAGCAAGCAGTATCAGAATAACTTGCAAAATCTGAACTGAACCAGCAGCACTACTGAAGCAGCCATGGGGATTACTGTTTCAAAAGGCCATTTCCAGGCTTTCCCTCATCTTTGCTGAACAGTGGAATTGCTATCAAAGTAACTCAATACTCTGCTGTGCCTGGGAACAAGGTTCTGCAAGCTTTTGGAATCATAAAAGCAAAAATCAAAAGGATGAACTGCTGGTTGTGCCTCCCTTCGGAAAGGACTCGCCCTGCCATGACACAGCCATCTCTTACCCACCAGAAGGAATGCTGCTGTTTTCAACTCTCACTCCTCTTAGACATATCTGGAAGTAGATGAGGAACCTCAGGCAGGAACTGACACAGCAGAGTCCAGAAATTAATTGGGAAAGCCTCTGTATGTGGCTGTGACCAGAATTAACACATACCATTAACACATACCATGTTAACTCAGTTCTACTGGCCAGTTCCTCAAAAGTCAGCACAAAGACTAGCAGCTCTCCATCTGGGTGTCTTTGCAAGATGGCAATAACTCGGACCATGGCAGATATATCAGAATAACCTAAGTGGTGCTAGGAGGACATTTGCTATTTAAGACCTCCTTCTCAACCATCTTCTGCAAACGTGTCTGAATTTGCTAGGATGTGCCAGATGCTACCAGATGGCAGACAGTTATACACAAGAAGGTGGTTGTGTGGATGTGGGCTCTTCAGCAGCTTCTCCTCTTCTTAAAGATTCCCTGAAAAAGAAGGCATTTCTTGGAAGCAAAACACAACACCAAGGCAACCATCAGAACTCAGTGGGAAGGTGCAGGGTGTTCTGAGAAAGGCAGCAAAAAGAAGACAGGGGCAGTGGGAGTTCCAGTCATATGCACTGGCCTGATGCCAGCGAGTCAGGTATCACTTGTGGGCTACAGGACTTCCAGGAAGGCTAATTTCAAAGAAAAGGACCCAAACCACGTCTGGCTGCTCTCAGCTGGGCACAATCCTACTTCCCTAGCTTCCTTTAAAAGCTGCAGCCTGAGCCAGCCACTAAGAACAAGCCTGCAGTGATGGCTGCAGTGGCACAACTCCTTTAATAAGCCACAAAAAATGTACAATCTCACCTGCAGAAGAAGCGTAGACTGGGAACGAACACACTACACTCTCCATACTGGCAAAATCTGCATTTAATTTACAACATAGTAAAGGTTACAGGTAAAAAGCTCAACAGAAAGTGTGAAAAGGCCTATTACATATTACACAAGTGTACAAACTTCTGTACAAAGCCCCTGGATGTTACACTGTCCCCTCCTGTACTGGCCAGCTATGGCCGCTAAGCTCTGAAATAATGAGAGCTTGTACAAACCCAGGGAGGAGAAGAGCTTTAAAAACCAATAAGCAGTAAAGCTTCCCTTTTCAAGAAAGATCTTGCAAAGAGCCACTGGCAAAACCAAACAATGAAAAAAATTAAAAAGAAAAAATAAAACAAAATAAAAGATGACCTGTTCAATGCTTACTTGCTCTAACTAGTCTTACTGTAAAGAGTTGCCTTCGTAAAACAGACTGGCTGGAAACAGAAAACTCTACATCCTGGAAATAAGCAAAAATGAAGTGTGAGATTTTTAGGGAGGGTAGGAAGTGTCTGAAAGAAGAATGTCTCGTTTTCAATAGCAACTAAGCACAGAGTGGCACAACTATATCATGGAGAAGTTACCGTGTTCATCAGAGGAACAGTCTGAGCTGGACATGAAGGCATGGAGGGGAACAAACCAGTCTCTAAAGGCATCACTCCTATGGGTGGGGTAGCCACTAGCTCTAATTGCCTCAACACCATGATAGATGCAATCACTGCAGATGCACAAGTCACACTGATTTTGAAGCACCTGTCTAAAACAAGTCTAGTGCCTACAGCACAGAGGCACTATAAAATAGCACTGCTTCAGAAACCATCATATTTTCACAGAAATTCTTAGCCTGGCAGCTACAGTACTGTACACACTAATGAACAGCTGGCACCACTGTCATTTCAGTGCACATTTCCTAGAGGAATCCCCCAAACAAAGGAATGTGACTACATAGCTGAACTGCAATAGATAGTGTTAAAATACAAAAGAAATCCAAGAAGAAAAAAACAAAAGGGCTCTGGCCTTACCTTGTATAAAGGCATACAGTCTGAGTAAATCTGAATCAGATTTTCAAATCTAAAACTGAGGATTTCATAGGCTGGAAACAACAACCCAAATCACACTTCTCATTTTACTCAATGGGGAAAAATGATGAAATAGTTAAAAATAAAAAAAAAAAAGGAAAAAGCTCATGTCATGAAACCAACTTGAGCTTGGCATGCTTCTTTATTCAGGGTGAGGCAGAATCTCTACTGAGAATTCCTGTTCTAGCTTTAGGTGGCACGTAATTCTTATCTTCTGTTACCAGCAGCCAAAACACCGTGCAGACTGTAGTTTTAGTTGTTAAACATGAGTCCTGCACCACTGCTGGACTGCTCATGTTCACCTGTGCCTTGTTGCATGCCATGTGCTCTAAGCTCAGAAATGCCGTTAGCAAGTAAAAATGAAACTACTGAATTTAAAAGAGCCACCAAGTTTAAAAAAGTATCTTCCTCTGTGTTAACTCTACCTTCAGTTACCACTACCTTGTTGATTCTTTGCACACTGTAGACAGTTTCCAGCCACCAGTCAAATGCTCCCAGGCTTGCCATGCTTGTTTGCTGCCATAAACACCCATACAAACTCAGATCCATCCATGGGTGCCCCTCTATCCAGCCACACAGCAGTCTGTGATACAACACTGCACCACAGCTCACGAAGCCCAGAGGTTCCCCATTCATCTCAACTCACGAACTCACGTGATGCTGCAGTGCTTTAGGTGGAAATTAAAACGAGCTGTAGCCAAAGTAGGAAGAAAAAAAAGAAAAAAAAGAGATGCCCCATGCGGGTAAGGCTTTGAAAAGATAAAAAATAAAAGCTGGCCTGTATTTTGCAGGTTTTAGAACTCAGACCAGAGGGATTTCTGGAAGGCCTGGCCCCAAGAATATCGACTTCTGATACAGCTGACCTGCTATGAGCAAGCCTGGCAGGAACGACGTTACTCATAGTAAGCACAACACCTAAATACACACATTTGCAGGGTCATGCCATAAATGATAACCTAAACTGTGTGATTCTGCCCCTTCAACTTATATGATCAAAATTCATAGTAAAGACCTTTGGGGATAGAGGCTAAGAAAAGGCTGCCATATATTTTGGTTCAGAGGGAGATGGTAGCTATATTGTCGTTGTCTTTTTTTAAACAGTTATAAAAATGTTTGAAGACAGATCTTTAAAGGATTATTTCGCTTCTCCAACCTCCGTATTACATCTGGTTAGGACATTAAAATTGCAAAAGGACAATACTACACATAAACAGTTTCTGGAGTTCGTAACTCCCATCCTCCCTCATCAAACCCTAACTCAGATCAGCAGGGAAGGGGTTGGCTTCTTGCCCGGCCATGCCTCCTTTGCATATTTCTTCTTCTTGGGTTCATTCACAGCTTCAGGATTAAAGACAGCAGGATTTGGAGCTGGGTTCATGTTAACTGTTGAAGGTACAACAGGAGTCAAGTCCACATCTGGGGCAAGATTGGGGTAGGGCATTGGCAGACCACCAATGAGTGCTGTCCCATGGACGCCGTGTGACTGGGAACCTGCCTCATTGTGGGTTGGAGGCAAACCCCCATATAATCCTCCGCTGTAGGGGAAGTTCTGCATACGCCGTGTCGCAGAGTCATCCGTGGTCAGTGAGCCCGGATTGTCCAACCGTTTCTTCTGCAGAGCAAAAGCATTTTAGCAGTTATTCAGAATACATGAAACAAGAAAGCTACTTAAACCAGATGGCTGCACAATTTTCCCCCAAAACACTCTGAGAGCAGCCACAAATAAACAGTCACAGATATGAGTGGATTTCCCACTCTTTGTCCCAGAACATTTCCCTCGGGTTTCTTTGAAAACTACTCAGTAATAAATGGTTAAAAGTGCATAATGAATGCAGACCAGTCTTGAGCTTTTCCTGAACACCAGACCAGGCAGGTCACTGGTCAGTAACACAGTTCCTCTTTTCCCTTTTAGTAAGAAAGAAACTGCAATTTTCTACATCACTGATCACCTGAATCTTCTCCTGCAGGCAGTAAGTAAGTGGCTTAGGTAGAATGATCCTTTTCCACACTTATTTTATACAAACAACAAATGCTGTTTAGTTACTTAAAGTTTTGCATAACTTCCTGAGTATTCAAATTAAACACAGTGCTGGCAACACACTTGTTCTGGAAGAGTCTTAGCTCTCTAAGTTCTGGTATGCAGCCTTATCAAATCTTTTGTACTTACAGTGTTTAAACAAACACTTTCTCATTTTTATTATTTGTTTTGCATAT